AAATATTCCCCAAGGCTCCCAGGATGGTCAGGGAAGCCTGGTTGTGTGGGAGCCCCTGGGGGAGTCTCTGGGCTAGAAATATAAAGAAATACAAGGGAAAAGGAAAAGCAGATCAAGGCACATATTTTCCTGGTCCTGTGATGGAAAGAATCTCCCACCCCACCCGAAAGGAGACACTTTGGGGTTGGTTTGGGGTTGGTTTTTTTTTTGCAACTATTTTGAATTCCCAACTTCTTCCTGCTTTGGTGGCAGGTCCAAGACTTCCAAGAAGGGGGAATGGTGGCTCCTCTGGCTCTGGAGCAGCTCAGCTCCATGTGGAATCACTTACTGCTGGGCTTAATATGCAAGTCAGATGTGCTGTGGGATCCACAGGGCTGGGATGTTCCCGAGCCAGGACTGGATCCCAGGGATGGTCAGGGAGGCTCTGGCAGGAGCTGCTCCAGGAGGGTGAAGCTGCACCCCAGAAATCCAAGGGTCTCCCCCAGGTGGTGTTTTTTGGCAGCATTTTCAGGTTCACCCTTTGGAAATGCAAAGAAAACGGGGCTGGAGCAGCTCTGGAGCCAGGCTGGGAGAGTTGGGGTGTTGAGCCTGGAGAGGGGAAGGGTCCAGGGAGAGCTTAGAGCAGCTTCCAGGGCCTGAAGGGGCTCCAGGAAAGCTGGGGAGGGACTTGGGCCAAGGGCAGGGAGGGATGGGATGAGGGGGAGGGATGAAAAGTGGGAGAGGGAGCTGGAGGTTGGAGCTGAGGAGGAAATTCTAATTTCCCAGTTTTAAATCCCAGTAACACGTTGGGTTTCCTGTTCTGTTTTTCTCCCTGCCCTCCCCCCAGCTCCAAATCTCATGGCCCCTACAGGATTAAAATCCTTCCAGGAGGAGATGGCCCTGCTTCCCAAGGACCATCCTCCCAAAACCTGAGATTTCATGGGCTCATGGAATGGTTGGGACTGGAGGAACCTTAAACATCATCCAGATCCAACCCCCTGCAGGGGCAGGGACACCTCCCACCAGCCCAGGCTGCTCCAAACCCCTCATGAGATCCTTCAACACTTCCAGGGATGGAGCAGCCACCTTGAAGATCATTGAATGGATCATCTGGGTGATCTTTAAGGTCCCTTCCAACCCAAACCATTCCATGATCTAAAGATCATCCAGATCCCACCCCCCCCATGGGCAGGGACACCTCCCAGCAGCCCAGGCTGCTCCAAGCCCCATCCAACCTGCCCTTCAACACCCCCAGGGATGGGGCAGCCACAGCTTCCCTGGGCAACCTGGCCCAGGCTCTCCCCACCCTCACACTCCACAATTCCCTCCTCAGCTCCAACCTCCAGCTCCCTCTCCCAGTTCTAACCCACTGTTTCTCAGGTTCTCCAGATGCTCACAGACCTGCTCCTCTCCCACAGGGGCAGAGCTGCCTTTTCCCAGTCCGTTCTTTCTCTACCTTGAGTGGTGTGACCAGAACCTTTGCTGGTGAAGACTGAAGCCAAATGTTCCCTGAGCACCTGGTACCTGAGGGCAGCAGCTTCCCAGGCTGATGTTCTTCCTGTCCCAACTGGTTCCTCTCCCTGTCTCCCCAGTGAACGTGGTGGAGGCCCTGCAGGAGTTCTGGCAGATGAAGCAGACCCGTGGAGCTGACCTGAGGAACGGGGCCCTGGTGGTCTATGAGATGGTGCCCTCCAACAGCCCCCCCTACGTCTGCTACCTCACCCTGCCCGGCGGGAGCTGCTTCGGCAGCTTCCAGGTACCAGGGGATCATGGAGCCATCGAGGGGTTTGGGTTGGAGGGACCTTAAACCTCATCCAGTCCCATCCCCCCATGGGCAGGGACACCTCCCAGCAGCCCAGGCTGCTCCAAGCCCCATCCAACCTGCCCTTCAACACCCCCAGGGATGGGGCAGCCACAGCTTCCCTGGGCAACCTGGCCCAGGCTCTCCCCACCCTCACACTCCACAATTCCCTCCTCAGCTCCAACCTCCAGCTCCCTCTCCCACTTTTCATCCCTCCCCCTCATCCCATCCCTCCCTGCCCTTGGCCCAAGTCCCTCCCCAGCTTTCCTGGAGCCCCTTCAGGCCCTGGAAGCTGCTCTAAGGTCTCCCTGGAGCCTTCTCCTCTCCAGGCTCAACACCCCAACTCTCCCAGCCTGGCTCCAGAGCTGCTCCAGCCCTCCCAGTATCTCCATGACTCCTCTGGCCTCTCTCCACCAGCTCCATGTCCTCCCTGTGCTGGGGGCTCCAGAACTGGTCCCAGTTCTCCAGGGGGATCTCCCCAGATCAGAGGGGACAATCCCCTCCCTCTCCCACTTTTAACCCCTGACATCCCCTCCCCACACACCCTAGATGCCTCCCCATGAGTTATCCTCCAGGGTGACCCCCTCTACCAGCGGGGTGGGCTCCCATCACCCCCCCAGGGCTGCTCCCAGCCCCCCTCCCCATGCTGGTTGTGCCCCCAGTTCTGCCCCACCAAGGCGGAGGCGCGGCGCAGCGCCGCCAAGATCGCCCTGATGAACTCGGTGTTCAACGAGCACCCGTCGCGCAGGATCACCGAGGAGTTCATCGAGAAGAGCGTGGCCGAGGCCCTGGCCTCCTTCAACGTGAGCTCCTGCCTGCCCACACCTTCAGGGGGGGGTGGTTGGATCAACCTCCCAAGCCTGGGAAGTTCTTTGGGACATCTGGAAACCTTTACAGTGGCTTTTCTGTTTTGTTTTGTTTTCTGTTGGCTTCTGAGTGTTTCAAGTCACTTTTCCCTCTCTCCTTCCCACACTCTGGTGTGGGATCCTCAGGGGTTTGATCCCTGTGACCAGGTTGTCTCACCTTGGGACAACTTGAAATGTTTTCCAGGGATTTCCTTTCCCATTTTCCTTTCCACCAAATGTTCTCTAGAAGCTTCATTTTCCAGGGGTGGGAGCTTTGAATTCTTTGGCCACTCTAATTGTACCTTCTCCTAGAGGGAATTTTGGCTGGGCAGTCCCCAGAGGGTGGAAGAACTTGGGAACCACCAGAATGGGCTTAAAAATCCCATTTCCAGGGGTGGTGTCAAGGGCAGGAGGGGATTTATTCAGGGAAGGGAACAAAAAGGGTATTGAGGCCGAGTTAGACGGGTCAGTGGTTCTGTGGGCACCAGGATGTCTAAGTCTCTTCTCCCTCATCCCACCTGGAATTCCTGAGGTGAGGATGGTGGTGTGGGAGCTGGGTAAGCCCTGTTTGGGTGGGAATTGCAGCTCTGGTCTGGAATGTCTCACAGGGCAACCGGGAGGAGGCGGATAATCCCAACACCGGCATCGGCGCCTTCCGCTTCATGCTGGAGTCCAACAAGGGGAAGTCCATGCTGGAATTCCAGGTACTGCTCCCAGCTGCATCTCTGGAGCTTTGCATCCCAAAGCAAAGCAGGTTTTTCCTCTCGGGACTCAGCTCTGGATTTCTGGGCACTTCCAGCAGCAAAATACTTGGAATTAGGGGCTTTTCCCTGGAGCTGCTCCAGGATGTTTGCGTGTCTTGTTGCTGTGACAGGGACACGTGTTCTGAGCTTCAGTGGGTAAAGATCTCAGGTAACTGGAGATCCAAATGACACCTCCAGCTGCTGCAACTCCTGGTTTTTATCTGGGAGAGGTCTCACTTCCCTCAGGGAAGCAGGGAAGGATCTTTAATCCAAAGCCTTCCTGATTGTGGAAGCAGGAGATTTGCTGACTGTGCTCACACGGTGCTACCTGAGCAGCCTTGGCCTTATCCAGAACATCTAGGAAGTGAAGAGAGGGCAACATCCCAGGGCAGAGCAGAGGGCAGGGAGCTGGGATTCCTCTGGGCTTTATCCAACTTTTCTAGGGAAGCTGCTCCCAGAGGTAGAGCAGAGAGGAGCAGGGAGGTAAACGTGACTACCCGGAGCACTCCGGGTGCTGCAGGGGAGGTGACAACCCTGGAGTGTCCTCCTTGTCCCTCCCTGCACGTACAGAGACATCCCTGACATTCCTGAATCCTTTTCACTTAACCTGGAGCTTCCAAAAGTCACTGGAAACGATTCTGGTGCAGACGAGTTGGCTGGAAATCCAGCAGCTGGAACTGGAATGGTAGGAGGGATCAGTGGAACTGAGCTCCAAACAGGCTTTGGCTTCCTCTCCAGGCAGGCGCCTGGACTCTGGTGTGGGGGGGGGATTTGGGGGTGTTTGCTGGAGGGAAATGATTCCCAGAGCCTGGCTGGGATCCCGGGGATGGAGACGCTCGGCAGGAGGGAGGGGGAAGTGTTTACATTCTGGTGCTGGTCACAGAGGGTGATTCCAGGCTGAGAGTTCCTGGGATGTGTCTGTGCTGGGGGGGCCTGAGCAGGCCCTGGGGGGTGGGGGGGAAAACTGGGGTGGTCTGGAAAGGGAGAAGTTGCCTTGGATAAACGGCTTGTCTGGTGGGTGAAGGAGGAGGCTGCAGAGGTGGAAGAATCCTGGAATTCCTGAAGGTTCAGCCTCTTTGTCTCCTCTGTCGTCCCCTCTTCTGGTCGGGGGTTCTTGTCCAGTGGGATGAGTTGGCTCTGCCTTCCCATCCTGGCTCCCAGGATGCTGGAGATGCCTCCACCTCCCTGGTGTCCTTGTCAGGATCTGATCTCTGCTGAAAGTCTTTCTTTGTGGCCTCTGGAGTTGCAGACAATCCCGTGTGTCCCTGCTGGGACTGGGTCATCTCCAAAGGTTCCTTCCAAGGAAGGAGAGAGGATTCTCTGATCCTTGCCTGAGCAGCTTGAGGGCCTGAAGGGGCTTCAGGAAAGCTGGGGAGGGACTTGGGCCAAGGGCAGGGAGGGATGGGATGAGGGGGAGGGATGAAAAGTGGGAGAGGGAGCTGGAGGTTGGAGCTGAGGAGGGAATTGTGGAGTGTGAGGGTGGGGAGAGCCTGGGCCAGGTTGGCCAGGGAAGCTGTGGCTGCCCCATCCCTGGGGGTGTTGAAGGGCAGGTTGGATGGGGCTTGGAGCAGCCTGGGCTGCTGGGAGGTGTCCCTGCCCATGCAGGGGGCGGGACTGGATGGGCGTTAGCTCATGGAATGGTTTGGGTTGGAAAGGATCTTAAAGATCACCCAGGTGATCCATTCAATGATCTTCAAGGTGGCTGCTCCATCCCTGGAAGTGTTGAAGGATCTAATGTGGGGTTTGGAGCAGCCTGGGCTGGTGGGAGGTGTCCCTGCCCATGCAGGGGGTTGGATCTGGATGATGTTTAAAGTCCCTCCAACCCACCTCATCCCATGGTTCTGTGCCTGGGCAATGTCAGAGCCTCCCTGTCCTGTCCCCAGGAGCTGATGACCGTGTTCCAGCTGCTGCACTGGAACGGCAGCCTCAAGGCCATGCGGGAGCGGCAGTGCTCGCGGCAGGTGAGTCCAGGTGGCTCCACACCTGCTCCTTCAGGTGCTTTGGGGTGACAACAACCTTCTCCTTCGGCTCCTGTAGCCACTGAGGAAGCCACGTGTGTCCCATGAATTCCCTTAGCCCCTCTCCATGGGTTCTTCTCCCTGGTAAGAAGCAACAGGACAAGAGGAAATGGCCTCAGGTTGTCCCAGGGGAGGGTTAGATTGGATCCTGGGAGAAACTTAATCACTGGAAGGGTAATTAACCACTGGACAGGCTGCCCAGGGGGGTGGTGGAGTCCCCCTCTCTGGAGGTGTTTCAAAGCCCTGGAGGTGGTGCTGAGGGACACGGGTTAGTACTGGACTGGGTAGAGTTGGGTTATGGTTGGTAGAGTTGGGTTAATAGTTGGTAGAGTTGGGTTCATGGTTGGACTCCATGATCTTCAAGGTCTTTACCAACCAGGATTCTGTGGTTGAACCCCCATCCCTAGAGGGGTTTCAAAGCCACGTAGATGTGGTGCTGAGGGACATGGTTGAGCATTTGACTGGGTAGAGTTGGGTTCATGGTAGGTAGAGTTGGGTTATGGTAGGTAGAGTTGGGTTAGTGGTTTGTAGAGTTGGGTTCATGGTAGGTAGAGTTGGGTTATGTTAGGTGGAGTTGGGTTATGGTTGGTAGAGTTGGGTTAATGGTTGGAAGAGTCGGGTTAATGGTTGGTAGAGTTGGGTTATTGTTGGTAGAGTTGGGTTCCTGGTTGGTAGAGTTGGGTTATGGTTGGTAGAGTTGGGTTAATGGTTGGAAGAGTCGGGTTAATGGTTTGTAGAGTTGGGTTGCTGGTTGGTAGAGTTGGGTTCATGGTAGAGCTGGGTTCCTGGTTGGTAGAGTTGGGTTATGGTTGGTAGAGTTGGGTTAATGGTTGGAAGAGTCGGGTTAATGGTTTGTAGAGTTGGGTTGCTGGTTGGTAGAGTTGGGTTCATGGTAGAGCTGGGTTCCTGGTTGGTAGAGTTGGGTTATGGTTGGTAGAGTTGGGTTAATGGTTGGAAGAGTCGGGTTAATGGTTTGTAGAGTTGGGTTGCTGGTTGGTAGAGTTGGGTTCATGGTAGAGCTGGGTTCCTGGTTGGTAGAGTTGGGTTCATGGTTGGACTCGATGATCTTCAAGACCTTTCCCAACCAGGGTTCTGTGACCCTCTCCCCAGGAGGTCCTGGCTCACTACTCCCACCGCGCTCTGGACGACGACATCCGGAGCCAGATGGGCATGGACTGGGTGAGCAGGGAGCAGAGCAGCCCCGGGGCCCTGTCCCGGGAACTGGCGGCCACCGAGCGGGAGCTGGAGGAGG